ACTTATTCCCATTCCTTTCCATCTGATTAGTGATAGGTAAATCTGTTCTCGGAGAAGATATATGACCAAATGTGGTCTCACTCTTAAAGATTTATGCGTCTCCTGATAAATATCTATATAAAATTTTTAATAGGCATTGTGCACTCACATAAGTAGGATTTAGAAAGTGGTTGTGGGAAAGATTCCAATACGTTAAAACTCATTCACACGCCTTAGTGAGGTAACATTTAGATCATTTTAAAAAACGACTTGTCACAAATTGAACAGAGAATAGACCACTTAGTGCACTAATGGTTTAATTCATAATTTTGGTGGGACGGACTTGGAAAACGGCCTAATTTAAAATCACAGAGAAATGTTTTCAAGCCTAACCATCATTGTCATCGTCATCATCTTGATGGTCGGGAATTCCATCATTATCGTCGTCATCATCGAGATAGTCTGGAATGCCATCCCCGTCTGAATCTTTCGCTTCCAAGTAGTCCAACATCTGATTATCATCTTCATCTTCGTAGATATCCGGAACTCCATCATTGTCATCATCGTCATCTACACGAAGCATAAAAAATTGACTTGGTTTAATCACATTGCACTCAACATGCTTTGAAGTAGACCATGCGCGAAGCAATGTTCGAAAAACTGGCTACTTAAATGGATTCAGTATGCGTAATTATTTGCGAAAGTGATAAATATTTTGTATGAAATTGCTTTTGCACAGCCAAATGAAAACAGGCCTCTCTCTTAGGGTGTTTGAATGCGTGCAGATTCAACGCAGAATACCTTCACTATCTGGAATTCCATCATTATCGTCATCGTCGTCATAAAGATCGATAATTCCATCGCCGTCTGAGTCTTGCATTTCTAGGTGATCGGGACGACCGTTCATATTCGAATCTACTACTAAAATGGAAATAAGTAGTGTAACAGACCAGTTACAGACATGCCAGTTCGGAACTTAATTTGCAACGAAAATTGCGGATAGGCCTCGTTTGTTTACACAGTCATGCACGATTACGAACTCAAATATTCCAACAAATGAAACGCGTAGGATCTCCAGAGCGTTCTCATTCCAATTTACGAAACACTTGAAAAAACCACCAATGAACTGAGATTATGCATTACGAATAGCGCTTAGTCGAGAGATAAGTTGGCTTGCTTAATTTAATTAATTAATTAGTTACGCAGACTTAAAAGACCAAATATTGTTAGAACTTACTCTTTTTCTGCTTCAGAGGCTTTTTCTTAAGAGGCGTTTTAACCGCCCTGAAAGAGGGATGGTCCTTATCTTGGTGATCAGGAATTCCATCATTGTCGTCGTCATTGTCCAAATAATCAGGGATTCCATCACCATCTGTGTCTTCCTTGTAATCTAGAACACCGTCACCGTCAGCATCTCCCTCCAAGTAATCTGGAATTCCATTTCCGTTGTCATCAGTGTCAATAGAGTCTGGTACCCCATTATTATCATCGTCAGTATCTAAGTAATCAGGAATACCATCGCCATCCGAGTCTTCCATATAATCTGGAATACCATCTCCATCAGAATCTTTTTCCAAGTGATCAGGGATTCCGTTTCCATCATCATCGTCATCAAGGTAATCAGGAATTCCATCACCATCCTCGTCTTCTTCATAATCTGGAATGCCGTCACCATCGGAATCTTTCTCTAAATAGTCAGGGATTCCATTTCCATCTGTGTCAGCATCTAAATCATCAGGAATCCCATCATTATCGTCATCCCTATCCAAGTAATCTGGTATACCATCACCGTCAGAATCTTCAATGTAATCAGCAACTCCGTCACCGTCACTATCACCTTCCAAATGGTCTGGAATTCCATCACCGTCTGAGTCATCATCCAAATAGTCAGGAATACCATCTCCATCTTCATCTTCCAAGTAATCCGGAATGCCATCACCGTCTGAATCTCCTTCTAGATAATCAGGAATTCCATCTTTATCATCATCATCTTCATCGTCAGGAACTCCATCACCATCGACATCGTCGTCTAGATAATCAGGGATGCCATCTCCATCAGTATCTTCCATATAATCTGGAATTCCATCACCGTCAGAATCTCCTTCCAACTCATCAGGTATTCCATCACCGTCTTCATCTTTCATTCTTCGTGCTTTCAGGACCTTATAGGACGGTCGATCCTTCTTTCTGTTATCCTTCTTATCCATGTAATCAGGAATTCCATCATTATCTTCATCTTCAAGATAATTTGGTATACCATCACCATCCCAGTCCTCTAGATAATCAGGAATTCCATTATTATTCGAATCCTGTTGGAAGATTTCATCACTGATATCACCATCGTCATCATCATTATCATCTGAAGGGTTAACACTAGGGAGATCAGTATCGGCATTTGTGTCTGTATCAAAGTAATTTGGTATGCCATCACCATCCTGGTCTTCAAGATAGTCAGGTATCCCATCCCCATCAGAATCTTCTAAGTAATCAGGAGTTCCATCTCCATCGGAATCATCTTCTAAGGCATCAGGAATTCCATCCCCATCCTTATCGATTCGAGAGGAGAGTCGAGCTTGTTTGAAATGTGTTAGAGTAAAGATGCTAGGATCTGCATCCAAGTAATCTGGTATTCCGTCTCCATCAGCATCTTCCAGGTAATCCGGGATGCCATCGTTATCAGCATCCTCCAGATAATCAAGAACTCCATCTCCATTGACATCTCCTTCCAAAGCATCTGGAATTCCGTCGTCGTTTTCATCTTCAAGATGATCCATAACACCATCTCCATCAGAATCAACAAACCGAGCTATTTTTGAATTCTGCTTCGGTACATGAACATGAGCTTTCACCTCCAAATCAATACAGTCTGGAATACCGTCTCCATCCGCATCTTCCATATAATCAGGAATTCCATCACCATCACTGTCTCCATCGCAATTATCCGGAATGCCGTCTTTATCTTTATCAATCAGAGCGAGATTTTTCGACTTTCCTTTCATATAGTACTTACTATCTTTATCCATGTAATTGGGAATTCCGTCACCGTCAGAATCGTCCAAGAAATTTGGAATTCCATCGTCATCATCATCTTCCATCAAATCGGAAATTCCATCATTATCAGAGTCGGGAACGGCCAAACGTTTTGATGCTCTATGTTTCGAAGGCTTCTTTGACTGAGGTTTTGACTTCTTGACAATAATCTGATCATCATCGAGATAATTCGGGATTCCATCATGATCATCGTCTTCCAGGAAATCTGGAATTCCATCTCCATCATTGTCATCTAAATAATCCGGAATTCCATCGCCGTCTTTATCCCCTTGAAGATGATCTGGAACACCATCTCCATCCTTATCAATATGCTTTGGGAGTTTTTTCGCCTTGAGGACGAAGAATTTGCTGTCACGATCAAGCATATTTGGAATTCCATCACCATCATCATCTTCATAGTGATCTAGCATTCCGTCATTGTCATCGTCAGTCAAAAAGTCTGGAGCTCCGTCAGAATCAGAATCGTTTTCTAAGATGTCAGGAATATGATCTCCATCACCATCAAGCATCTCTATCAACTTCATGTAGAAGCTATATCGCTTCGAGAAGTTTGGAGCATCTTCATCGAGATAATTTGGAATTCCGTCTCCATCTTCATCCTCAAGATAATCCGGAATTCCATCTCGATCAGTGTCCTGGGTCAAAGGTTTGAATTTTGAGGCATTCGCTTGTTTACACGACCCGTCCTTCTTTGAACACGATGCCGGCCTTTTGATACCTTCAGCTTTGTAAAGTTTGTGATCTTTGTCGAGGTAATTTGGCACACCATCACCGTCATCGTCCTTGAGGTAATCTCCAATGGTTTCTCCCTTAGAGGCCTGCTTTTTACCACCCACCTGGCGTTTTTGCTTCTTTCCAGCATTCAACTGAAGTAGTCTCCGACCAAAAAAAGGCGGTACATCGTCTCGAACTAAATCACCTATTTTTAGATTAAATTAAAAGGCAAAATTTAATTTAAAGAAAGCAATCTAGGAAGGGGGTCCTACAAGTTGGGACACAGCAGCCGACATGCAGAACTGTCGGGGGGTTCCAGATGGAATGCAGATTGGGGAATTGCCATGCATTCATGCTATTAGAAGAATCTAGCTACCTTCGTCCTCTTCATCATCGTAGTCCTTATCATCGTCCAAATCTTCATCTTCTTCAAACTCGTCCCCAGAGGCATTTTGTTCCCCATCAACTGAACTTTCAAAGAGGAGGGAATCGAATTCAAGAGAATGAGAAAATTCCTCTCTATCGCTGTCATCATCTGAGAAACCTTCATCCATGGCAAAGTCAAGCTAAAATTTTACACAAAAAAACTCGAATTTAACGAGACAAAAGGACAAAAGGAGCTAAGGTATCATGTCGGTAAAAATTTATCCCACTAGATTTTTCAAATAATTACAAAAATAAGCATATACTTGGATTCGAAAGGGGGCAATTGCTTTAAGCATACATCTTTCCGTCAAAATGTAATCATCAAATAATTGGAATAATTACATTAAACTAGACTTTGATTGGTCACAGCTATTTTACCCTACCAGTGGTTCACAATGTATGGGCAAAGCAATTTTTGAAATCATTATTATTATTATTATTATTATTCCAAATGGCAGGCTTCGTGATATTTATAATTAGCCCTTAAACTGTGACTTCAGCTTCTTCCAAGGGAGGGGAGGGGGTACATTTATAGCAGTTAATTAATAGCAATTCATTAGCTGTCTTCTTGCTTCCCAGTATCTTTGGCTTTCCGTCGTTGCCTTTAGGGCTGGACATCAAATCAGGTGGGTCTTCTCCATTTTCTCCTGTAGGTTACATAGAGGGCATGTGGGTTGAGTGTATACTCCCAATCTGTGAAGATGTTTTGCCAAGCAATCGTGTCTGGTACGTAGTCTAAACTCAGCAACGGCTTCGATTCTTG